CTTTCCTTTGCTAGAGGGTAACGGCGGACTATATCGCGCCCTTCGGGAGCGGGGCATCCTGGCGGACATGGCATCAAGAGGGGCGGAGTATGTCCACATCTTTGGCGTAGACAACGTCCTCACCAAGATGGCGGATCCCTACTTCTTCGGCTTTTGCATATCAAAGGAAGCCGAGTGCGGCGCAAAAGTTGTCGAAAAAACAATGCCTGAGGAGCCAATCGGCGTGGTCGGTGTTGTTGATGGAAAGTTTAGGGTGAGTCCTACCCTACCTATGTGTATGTTTGTATGTGTGATGTTTTTTTTCCTACAGGATAGTAACCGCAACTGTTTCGGAGAGGGTACTGTGGTGATAAGCTTGTCACAAGCAACGATGTTTGCCGATCAACAGCGCCTCGATCAAATCCCCAGAAATGAACTAAACAGCAAGGGCATAAAAGGGGAAATGTATTGTCGTAAACTAACGACGTACTTTATAAATGAAAGCAAGGCATGCAGGTGCATGAACAAGATAGGCCTGTAATCGGACAAATTTAAGTAGTGTCCTCAGGTGGGTAATGGCTTTCTTACTTATCCGAATGGCAGGGTAGAGTCCCAATCTCGGCAGCAGCTTGCGCGTCCTTATCACGAGCATTGCACATAGGCGGATCGGTAATGTGGCGTGGGAGTGAGTCGTCATGGCAGCCAGCGCGTCGGTTAGACCGGCTCCTAACACTTGTCTATCGTGATGTGGCCTTGTTTAAGCATCTAGCTCTCTCGGTATTCCCACATCCTCGGTGCTTACGTAGTAATTAACATTTTATTCAAGACAGCCACGGTGACTGCTAGTGAAACAGCTCGCCCGCACAGACTTCACACAACCTGGTAATTAAAATCTGCACATAACAGGCTTCAACGAATTGTTGGCTTTTACATAAGCCAGTCCTCTGCGGACCATAGTGTCGTAATCCTAAATTCTGCCTAGAGTTTGAGCAATCGTATCATCTGACGAGGTACATCATGTGCACCAATGCAAGATGGCACAGTGACGGTGACTTCCGCGTTAATTGGATTATAGTGAGAGTAGACTTGCGCTGCATCTTCTGCACTCTTTCCCACATAGGTTCGGTGTCATGACTAAGTCAAGAAGGCTGAGAGTGGGAGAGAGTGCAGGTGGCTGGCGCGGCCGGCGCCGTCCTTAACGTGTCATCACATTTGGCTTAGATCCCACGAAGTGAAAGTGCTATAAGGGCCACCTTAAGAAGAAGGAG